TGACAGAAGCTCCAACTCCTTCCATAACTATTAAAGTCTGAGAATGAGCTCTCTCCATTATTTTCTTTATCTCTTATTTGTTGGTCTTCACTTATTGTCCATTTGTTTGTATATACACATAGATGCACATACACACACATGAGTGTGCATACATATGCATGTGGGTCTGTTCATACATGTATGCCTGTATGTGCTATATGTGTGTATATATAAATGTACCTATGTGTGTATGCGTTTTTTCTTTTAAATTTTTTAATTCATATTTGCAGTACGTAATGTTTACACTTTGTATGAAGTGGGTACCTGTACATAATGTCCCAGTTCTTTTTTCATCCTTCCCCTACCCACCCCCTCCCTGGCCCTCTTCTTTCTCTCTCCGTCTCTTGATTGATTCCTTTCCCATTTGAGCAAGATCTCTCCCCTACTTCCTAGCTATCTTTTTATTTTGCTTTTTATTTATGTTTTGGGTTTCTAATGCTATATTAAGCTTGTGAATCTGATTTATTTCACTTAACATTGTAGTCCCAAGGTGCATCCATTTTCCTACAAATAACCAAAGTTTATCTTTCTTTATGGCACAGTAGTACTCCCTTATGTATAAATACTACATTTTCTTTATCATTTTATCTGTTAATGTTCATATAAGCCTCTTCTAAGATTTAGTTATTATGAACTGTGCTGCTATAAACATGTGAATACATGCATCACACATACTGTGATACCTTTAACTCAAGAAAGACCTGGATCAAATGGAATTTTTAGTTGTAGATTTGTGAGGAAACTACATACTAATTTTCATAATGGTTGCACTAGTTTATGTTCCCACCAGTGATGTAGAAGATTCCTTTTCCTCCACAGCCTACTTTTTTTTTTTTTTTTTTTTTTTTTTTTTGGTACTGGGTATTGAACTAGGGTCCTTGTGCTTGCAAGGCAGGCCATCGAACTGCTGAGCTAAATCCCTGGTCTTCTATTTGATTTCTTGATGATGACCATTCTTTCTGAGGTAAGACAGAATCTCAGTGTTAATTTAATTTGTATTTCTCTAATGGTCAGTGATGTTAAACATTTCTTCTCAGAATTTTTTGGCCATTTGTACTTCATCTCTGAAGATCCTACTTACTTCATATGCTCATTTTTTTAATTAGGTCTTTTATTTTGGGATTCTAATACTTTTAGTTCTTTTTATATTCTACATATATTCTCTACATATCCCTTTGTCTAATAGCTGGCAAAATTTATTTTTCATTCTGTAGGTTTTCTTTTCACTCTGTTGGTTGTTTTGTTTTGTTTTTATTGCTGTGTAGAATTTTAAATTTAATTTAATTCTATTTGTTGATTCTCTGTACTATTTTCTATGCAACCAGGGTTTTGTTTAGAAAATTCTTGCCTATGCCTATATCTTTAAGAGTTTTACCTACGTTGTCTTCCATCAGGGTAAGTGTTTTTGTTTTAATGCTCAGTTATTTGATCCACTTTGATTTGAGTTTAGTACATGGTGAAAGACATGGCTCTAGATTCAATATTTTGCATGTGGATAGCCACTTTTTCCAACATTATTTATTAAAGAGACTGTCTTTCCTCCTCTGCATGTTCCTGACCTCTTTGTCAAAGATGAAAGAGTTGAATGCAGTTGGAATAGTTTCTGCTTCCTCTATTCTCTTCCACTGATCTTTGTGTCTGTTTTTGTGTCAGCATCATACAGTTTTTATCATAGTAGCTTTGTAAATATAACTTGAAGTCCAGGACTATGATGCCTCCTGATTTGTTCCTGGTGCCCAGGATTGCTTCTGCTATTCTGTGTTTCTTTTGGTTCTATATGAATTTTAGGATTGTTTTCTCCAGTTCTGTGAGGAATACCACTGAGATTACGTTAAATCTGTATACCAATTTTGGAAATATGACCATTTTGACTATATTGGTTCTGCCTATCTAAAAACAGGGGATTATGTGTATAAATTCCATTGTAAGCAGGAATTTTTCCTTATTGTCCTGCATGGTGGCTAATGTTTAAATTATGGATAGATCTTTCTTTTCATCATATAATTTGATTAGGGATCCTATTTTAAGTTCAAAATTTATTAATATTCCTAAAGCCGTGCATGTATTATTTTAGACAGCAACCTGAAAAGGAAGGTACTATTACTATCCCATTGTGTAAATGTATAAGTTCAGCCTTAGACTCCTCAAGCATGTTGGCCAAAGTCACAAGTCATGAGTAGTAGAGCTGAGTCATGAATACAGATGGTCTAACTTTAAGGCCATATCTTGATCCTCTGTCTTTTACCTAATTAGTACATTTATTTAAAAATTCATGTACATAGATTTGGGAAGAAAAGATTTTTCAAACCTCACCCTAAAAAAAATGTTTTAAAACATCCTTATTTCTTTTACCCTCCAAAGGATGCATCCAAAGAATACACACACAAGACGCATTCTGCTCCTCCCCTCGGAGACTCATTTTCATAGAGTTGGTAGCAGCCAACTCCGATGACAGTTACCACTGGTAGTTCCTTGTTCTTTTCCTGTATCTTATTTGTTTGGTAATGCTTTTCTTCTGTATAATATTTGGTAGTCTGAAATCTTCAAAATAGCTGGGAAACATGGAGTGAGAGTGACACTTCTACTTCTCTGAAAGTTGTCAAGTTTTTATGAGATTACTCCTGAACCAAAGCTTGACTAAAAGCCAGACATTGGAAATATATAGCCCCTGTGAGAGGATGGAGATAAGACAAATAAGACATGGGTAACAGAAAATGTCCAGTGCAGTCCGCAGGCTGGCCTGTTGAGTCCCATTTCTCTCAGACCGAACTTGGGTTCTCCATAAGAGTTATTGTTTACTGGTAAATAATCATATGGTTTTCTTGAGCTAATAAGCAATCTGTTTATTATTTAATCTGCATAGCAGAAGAGGTGAGGGGAGGAACTGTGATGAGGAATACAAAGGTACACTTACACTTACACTTACTAGAAGCCATCACACCTCACAATGAGTACGCATTAGGGGACCTTGACAGAACCTGGAGACAATGGACAGGAATAATATTTTCTTGGCAAGAAAATATTTTTTCAATCCAATTTTCTAGGTCAGTGTTATCACATCCACTAGATTTGTAAGACCAAAAGCAAACATAAGGCTGAAAAGAACTTTGAACTATTTAACTTTATAACTACTCTGTGTGTGTAAGTGGGGAGTGTGTGTTTGTGTTGGAGGAAAAATGTTTTTTGAGGTTTACCAGGGATCGAACTCTGGCCCTTGTGCTTGCAAGACAGGCAGCAGAATCACTGAGCCAAATCCCTGGCCCTTGGAGGAAAATTTTTTACATTAATTTTTTCCTAATAGCAGATTTTAGTGTTAATAACGTCTGAAAATTTCTCCAGGAAATCTGTGCTTCTATCCTCTAACATCAGAGCACATCTAAGTCATAACTTTTACTTTTTGAACTCTGAATGAATGATTGGATTCCCATCCATCTTTCTGGGTGTTGCCCTAAAGCAATATCTCTTCCTTTCAATCACATGTATCTTCAAAGCAGACCGGTAAAACAGCAGGAAGTAAATACATACAAACTCGAAGAAAGTCCACAAATCTGTTGTACAGTAGTTAGGTAAAATATCTACCAATTTATTCATTCAGCAAAAGGTATTGAACACCAGTTCTGTGCCAGGGTAGTGTGGACGCAGGGATGAGCACTGGAGCACATTCCTCTTCCTGAACAACTGAGATGTTTGGTGAAGTGCTTTTTCTGGCTGAGTAAAGAGAGAGGGTGAGATTACAGGACAGGAGAAGCACTAGCGAGGTTTTGCTGGTCCTTGAGTTAGAAGGAAAGCTAAGAACATGATGTGTTCAAAAGCTAGCAGGAGTGAAGCTAGTGGGACTCCTTAAAGACCTGGAGGAACTCAGTATGGCAGGAGCATAGAGAAGGAGATGGTGAGAGACATTAAAGAAAAGAGGGAGGACCAAGTGTTGGACACTCATTCATTTCCTTTAAATGAGTTTGCATTTCAGAAGTTTTAGGCTTTATCCTATGAATAGACGGATATGTCATAGTCAAGTCTAAGTGATTAATTGTAATTTCTTTTTTCCTTTCATCAACACATTATTTTCTATTTTTATATTCTAAGTCTTTTCTTTTGCTCTCACTCCTATAAATCCAAAAATGGTGGCCCATTTGTATAGCTCCAAGTCACTTCCAAGCTTTTATTTGGTTGACTTTTCTAGTGTTGCATTACCTGAAAGCCCTAAAATAACAAGAGTCTACTATTAAAGCTAAAATGTAAGAGGAATAAAGCTTTAATTTCAAATAACTTGGTGAACATCTGAAAAACCTATGGAATAGAGACTTCTAGATTTAATTAAGTTTAACTTTCCAGTCATTATAGGAGATAAGATTTGCAAATAATTCCCATTTGGGGAAATCATTTTCTCTTTTAATTCATAAGAATTAGTAGCATTTGTAGAAATATGTATGATTCATTAAGTTTTACACAGCTAAACTCATATTTAGAAGACATTGCCAGAAAATTATGCTTTTAGGGAAATAAGAATTCAAGTTGTCAAAAAAGCAACAGTTACTGAATTACTGTGGGAAATATAATGCCTTTGTGGCAGTTAGGCTACCAAGGAAGACTTGGTTTGACCAGGCTTTTTGTGGTGGTAACTTCCTCCTCCAGAGGGAGAAACTGCCAGTAAAGGAAGAATGACAATTTACATATCGTAGCAAGGCTAATCAGCCCCAGGTCTTAGTCACAGCCTGCCTACTTGAGACATCCTGGGAAATCCCTGCTTGGAAAAGAAAAGTTAAAAAAACAGTTTCTGTGCTTATAAGTTTATTCTGTGTAATGCACACAGAATCACCTCTGCTCCTTTTCAATGAAAAATTGCCATTGTTGTTTTCTGACATGAGTTAATGGTGGTCAGGTTTTTCAAATTTTGTATGATTGATCTCACTCAAAAAGATATCCTAAGAGATCGCCCCCCCCTTTTGCTCTTTGCTTTTCAGACTTGCAGAGAAAGAGCTTCCATGGCGCATTTGGCAGAAGGCACAGCTGGAATGAATGCTGCACAAAGTACTACCGAGCATACAGAGGTAAGAAACACATTTCTGGGGATGAATTGGCCATATCTAGCATGGATAAAATTTCTAACTCTGCAATGATATATAAGAGCAGAAACAGCTAATGTGTTAACTAAGATCTGCTGTATATTTACAGGCAATGTTATTAGGCATAGAAAAAGTATTTGAGTGACTATCGCATTACCTCAAACTCACAGGACTGTCTTCTACAGATTGATAGGATTAAATCCGTTCAAACTCCTTTCAGCTTTCCAATTCAGTGTGTTCAATATTTTGCTCTTAATTTACAACATTGTTGTTCAGAATAAAATATCTAAAAAGAATAGTGTATTGCGTGGTTATAAGTAAAACAATAGTAGTGTTTATAGTAAAATATATACTTGCAATTGAAACTATAGCTTTTGATCAGTTGCTAGAAGAACTATATGATGTAATTGGTAACTAATTAATTAGTTACTATTTAATTACCAAGTAATTAATGTGTGTCTTTATTTTTTTGAAAAGCGGTAACTAAAGTAAAATGAGAAACTATATAGAACTCTTTGTTCATTTAAAATTTAGATATTTAATTTTATTCTGTCAGAATTTGAATATGTGAGAGGTTGGTCTGGGTGTTAGATTAGAGAAAGGCCCCGATGTTTACATACATCAAACACAGATTATATTTCATAGTATATAATTATGGGGAATTACTTATTGGGAGTAAATGTTCTGTGCACAGGCCCTTACTATAACTGAATGACTAAAAATCTTTGTGATTATTACAATATTGGATGCTTTTATTAGCACCTAAAAAGCAAACCAAATACAAATGGAAAGTTCCCCCACAATGTTTGTATTTGATTGACTTTGCTATATTTTACTACACACCTGAGGAACATAAACCATTGCTAAAATGCTAGTTAATTTCCAGAGAAATATTGGATAGCTCACAAACTATTCATATTCATTATGTTTCCTAACCCTTCCTCCTTCTCCATCTCCCCCACATCTAATTGAGTATTACTCCCAAGTTTCAAAAATTAGTACTCCTAAAATTGTAAGTAGATTCTGCTGAAGATTTAGTATCTAGCTTTTCAAGAATTCTCATTTTCAAATGAAAATGAAGAGTCAAAGCATTTTATAAATCTTTTCAGGGAAAATTATTTGTGGGGGCAAACAGCAGCAATAACAACAACAACAAACCTGACTGCAACTGGATTTCCAAAAGGCAAAAGCATACAGATGTTTGTTGCCACATATTTTTGTCTACATTATAGATAGAAAGGAGGACTTTTTGAGGAACCAAAACTCACATTTCTAAGCATTATCTAGGCTAGGAGGATACTGAACTTCAGTAAAAATTGTGATTATCTAGACCATTTGTTTAAAATAGAGATGTCTTGCTCCCTTTCCTGAAATTCTGATCTCAAACAAGAACACTAACAGCAATATCTATATAGGTGTAAAAATATCACACCCTAAAATACTTGAGACATGCATAAGTAGAGAAAGATAGTACAATTTTATAGATTATTTCTAATGAAAAAAAATCCTTGAAATACCACAACGATTGTAAAAGAGCTGTTTCCTCAAAACATTTCTGGCAAAAACCAACATATTTGAAAATATTTCTTGTTCATAAATGCCTTTAAGTAATTGTATGGTCCATAGTAACTGTGGAGCCTGAAACTGAATACAGACTTAGGAACTATCCCATCACTCAGTTCATTATATTATTCGTATGAGTCAGAGATAAGATTGTAAAACTATTATGTTACAATAGAGGAAATGGAGTGAGTGTTGCCGGTTGATTTATCCAGGTGGCAGCTGGTTTCTAGAGCTTTTGTGTATTTTTTAAATAAATACTCCCATCCTTGAAAAAAATATAACTAAAAGGAAAATGATTAACTTTTTCATTATGCCAATAATTTATTATGTGTCTAAACTTGTTACAATTACATAGTACCAGATGACCTATGCCCATTTGTATATTTATGTCATGATCATTGATGTTTCTATTAACAACCTCAATCACAGTTGTACAGTTCTATAATCAATTCGCTGTGTTTGAGATATCTCCAGAAACTTACCTGATCTCTACAAGCTATTATCTTCTTGTCTTTCATTGAAAAAAGATTGATATTAAAATTCATGAAATTAAAATTTCTGGCTTGTTCATCATGCAGGTACTTTTATTAATTATTGGAAAGTTATTTTGTTAACTAAATTCTATAAAGGAATCAGAAATATAATATGAAGCTGATACATTAATAAGTCGCTATGAAGGACTTGTGAGGATTGTTACTAGTGGAATTGGAATGTGTGTGTGTGTGTGTGTGTGTGCGTGTTACTGAGGTTTAAACCTAGAGTCTTTTGAATTTTAAGCACATATTCTACCAGTAAGCTACACATCTCCAGTCCCAGAATCAGATATTTTTTGACACATTATATGAGTTGACTAAATGTATGGGGTTTATGAAGGACAGTATTTCTCTTGTTTATTTTGTGGATTATTTTATCTCAATCTTTTTTTTTAAGTGTGCTCAATCATCAAGAAGAAAGAATTTGACAAGCACTCTTGAACACAAGATAAGATACTTGGAAAAACAGAGAAAAGAGGTAATTTAAAAATAATAATTATCCATATATGATTAATGCTGAGAATAAAATACCCTTTGGTATCTTTTAATTTTGTTTTTAAGCAACAATATTTGTCTCTAGGATACTGGGATGCATTATCTTGAAAGGAAATTTTTTACTCAGTATTTGTGCAAAGCTGAATGAAAAATGTAATAAGTCTGATATTATAATCCCAACTTTCTCAAACATTAGATGCTTCCCACATGGACCCTGTAAGTTTATTAACTCTGTCCTTCAACAAACCTTGCAAATTGACATATCTTGAAACTCAAACTGTTTAAGACTTTTAGTACAACTGATTTAGGTGGTATGACTTCATGAACTTGGCATCCTAATACACAGGGAATAAGAATCATTGTCCTAAAAATATTTTTAATTCTAAAATGTTATTGAGAACTAACAGCTACTATTAATTATGCTGTTTTTATTATCCAAGTTTAATGAATGTTAAAATCTCATTACTTTACTTGACAGAAGAGAAGTGAAAAGTGCAACCATTTTAGCATTCCATATATTATCAATTTTGTAATTTATTTCCTCACCCATTCCATGTATTGTATCTTTTGTGTTCTTTTCTATAACACTTTATGCTTCTCTTTGATATTGCATAGAATATTGTGCCCTTCTGGGAAATTACTGAACAGTTGCAGAGTAATGTTAGTAGCAGAAGAATGTTAATCCTCAAAATGCCAACAGATCAGGTATTATACAATTACGTTATGTAGCCGTATTCTAACTACCACGTTTATTTCTACCCTAGGAATTACCTAATATGCAACTGTTATTCTGGATTAGGTATTTTGTTTTGTTTTTTAATTAAGAGACAGTTTTGTCTCTTTTTTTTAATCATTCTGACTATATTCTTGGTGTCTGTCTCATATTGCTAAGTGCCATAATTTATCTTAACTTTGAAAACTACAAAGTTCCCCCAAAACAAAAACAGGTGATAGTGTTGTTTCTTCTAATTAGAAAATAGTTTTAAAAAACCTTTAAAGTGTTTGCACTAAATATTGTCTTGTGGTGAAACTATTATTCCTTGAAATCTATACTTTTAAAACTGTGATAGCCATTCATTGAGTATGTATCACAGATAATGCGTTAATCTTTGAAGCACATTACTGCAAGCAAATGATTATCAGTTAATAGACTTTAATATGAATTTCTTTTAAAGTTATAGATTTTATTATAACAGTCAGTATAAGCACATAAAAATACATAAAGATTTGAGAAAAACTTTCATAAATCAGTAACAATTCATTAATAAATCTTACAAAAAATTACCTATACTTATAATTTTTATAAGTTCTAGATACATTAAGCAAAGAAGACAGAAATTTGAATAATTAAGAGAAGTCAAAGTGGTTGATCAACTGTTCAGCTGACTTGGCTTGATATGCCTAATTCTTAATAGTTTTTCATATGTTAGAAAGTTATGAAAAGGGGAGGAAGTTTCTGATTAAATCATCCAAGCCCAACTAGAACTTACAGGAAGGAACACTGTGTCCTCTATGGCTTCCAGAATTTCAGCAAAGTTAAAAAGTAATTGTGGGTTGCCAGGGATTTAGCTCAGTGATTCTGCTGCTTGCCTCACAAGCTCAAGGTCCAGAGTTCAACCCCTGGTACCAAAAGTAATTGTGGGTTGCCCAAATTTTGAAATTGGCAGAAATCTTTTATTAATTTACCAAATTTTACTAATTTCAGCTCCTGGAAGTTAATCAGCAATGGGATCAGCAGTTTAGAAATATGAAAGAGTTGTATGAAAGAAAGGTAAAAACTTCTATTTGGGATTTTTGCAATCCTGGTGGGACCAAGTATGTGAACATTTTCATTGATTTCAGCTGAAAGAGACTTGTGGATTCCCAACTGTTGACAAATGAGGGGCAACGGGGAGGTGATGAGTGCATCATTGGCCTCATGGTACTGATGATTAATGGGCAGTGTCTTTGAATGGTCTTGTGCATCAGTAAAGAAATATGCTAACAACAGCCTCCAGTGATGTCTCAAGAGTTCCTATCCTACCCTATGTAGCATCCTGCCCTACTTTTTATTTCTAGCAGCCATAAATACATGGGTTACAGCTCAGGTTCTGGACAGTTTGTGTTATGAAAGGCTAAGCCTGTAATTCTTTAATTTTCCATAAAGAAACAAATAGTGCTCACAGTGAAAGTGAGGGAGAAACACTTCTCCCAAAGTAAATGCACTGTAACAAGCTTTTGCTTTGATAGAAAGGAACATTAGAGTGAAAATCTCCTTTAATAGGTAAAAGTCATTCATAATTTTAAAGTATTCTATTTTCAAAAACAGAAAGTAAATTCTCCTAGATTCAGGATTAAGAAACAACCACAAGTGAGTAATCCAACATCGTTGTTCCCCATTTTGACACTCAGAAGTATTAAATTTAGAAGGTGTAAAAACAATGTTCCCACTGCTCTAGGCAATGTCAAGGTGCTTTGCGGTATATGTGCTGGAGTACTTTGGGACTCCACATATTAGAGACAGACATTCAAAGAGAATGCTCAAGCTGCATTCCTGAACTGCTTGCAGGCAGGGGGTGTGAAAACAGATGTTTTGAAGAGGTTCTTTCACTGGACCTGAAGCCTAATTTGGCATCTCCTAGGAAGCCCAGTGCTGCAGGTTACTGAGAGGTTAAAAGCCATGCCTACATTCCTGGTGCAGGCTGTTGTTCTTCCTGCACTCTGATCCCCCACTGCCCTCTCCTGATCAGCCAAGCCCCTCCTGAGAGCTGAGAGTAGATGACACAAGAGACCACCAGTCTGGGACCTAGGTCTTCATTCCCTCCTAAGGGTGGTGGGGGACAGATCCAGAAGTTACTTCCATGTAAGGTGTTGCTTTTCACGATTGACCAAACTTCTTTTTAAAATCCAAGTCCCCTGATCTGTGCTGTGAGTGTTCAAACATAGAGCTTCTCAGGGTGTATCTTGGAAAGGGACAAGTTTGTAATCTGGGAGTAAATGGCTGGGGGTGTGGGCCTCAGAACAGGTGTCTGCCACTGTCTATGACTGACTCCCTCAGGTCGCAGAGCTGAAAATGAAATTGGTAGCTGCAGAAAGAGTCTGGGGAACCCTGGAGAAGGAGCGACAGCAACAGGAGCAACCACAGAGTCAGAGGGTGGACACCAGGCCACGTGACCAGACCCGGGACCCGCAGCTAGAGGTGGGCAAGGCCACAACAAAAAGGACCTGAGTGAAAATTGGAGGCGGTTTCCTGCCAAAAACCTACTGTTGGTTAACACCAGCTCACTGCAGAGCAACAACCAAAGTGTGAGGGTGTGGGTTACACAAGTTTTCAAGCACCATCGAGGGAGATGAAAGACTGCTATCTTCCTGTATTGCACAACAGGAATATTTGCCAGGTCCACCAACAGAGGGAAGTAGTCCATGGATTAGGTGAAGCCTTTCTAAGGCATTTCAGACTAGAAGAAAAACAATTTTCTCTTTTCACATGTTATTTTGATTACTACTGATTGTAACAGAAGTACAATACATCCGTATAATGGCTTTCCAGTTTACAGAATTTTACAAATATGCTTTTCTTTTTTCTTGTACTATTGATCAAACTCTTCGGTATTTTATCTCTGAGCTACATCGCCAGTCATTTTTTCTTTTGCTTTTTCTTTTGAGGCGAGATCTCCCTAAAGTACTCAGGCTAACCTCAAGCTTGTGATCCTCTTGCCTCAGCCTTCTGAGTAGAGGGATTACAGGTACACACTGCTGTGCCTGGAAGGTATTGTTTTTGTACTCAGAAAAATAAAACAGTTTAAAAAGCATGTCATCATCTTTATCTCATTTAACACTGTTAGCCCACTTTGGAGGAATATATGCTTGCCATGTGAAGATGAGAAAACTGTCATGCTAAACAGAATTTACCTGTAATCCCAACTCCTCAGTGGCTGAGGGAGGAGGATCACAAATCCAAGGCCAGCCTGGACAATTTAATGAGACCCTGTGTCAATATTAAATAAAACAAGATCTCCCTGGGTTCAGTCCCTAGTTCTAAGCAGAGATAAATGAGAAAGATGAGGTGTAAAGAAAGCTACAAGGCTTTGGAACATTGATAAAGCAGTACCATGGAAATAGAACTTGGCATCTCATCTTCAGATTCTAATGCTTTTGCTGTCCCTATAAAGAATTAGAAAGAGACAATCAAGATGACAAGTTTCTCCTAAATGGATTCTGGGTTTGTTTTTTTTTTTTCCGATTTCACTTTCAGTGATTGGACTTCATGGCTTTCGTAGCAAATGAGAAGGAGCCAGGGATTTAGCTTAGTAGTTCCACTGTCTACCTTGCAAGGACCCAAGTTCGTTTCCCAGTACAAAAAAAAAAAAAAGAAAAAGAAAGAAAAAAGAAAAGGAGACAACAAACTTGAAAGGTCTCTTTGTTTAGGCATACTAGAAAAGAACAGTAAGTTCTTTTCAGAACATTCTCAGGTGAAGTTTTATCACCACTATTGTGAGGCGTTGGCAATATTTTAAAACATACACAATGGTTAAGAGGCTTAAGGCCGTGTCTGACAGGAGCAGACAATGCCAGTCCAGGTTTTCCTATCTGGCTGAGGATGGCTTTGTCATAGTGAATCAGGAAAACATGGTTCTGCTCTGTGGCAGCCACTTCCTATTCCAATTACATCCTGATGAGGAATCTTAGTAATTTTTTCTTCTTGCAATTGGAATACTTTTGCTGTTGAAGTAATTTTCTCTTAAATTATGCTAAATAAGAAAATGATTGGTTCATTTTCCAAGTTTATAAACTCATTTCATTTAAATAAGTGCAAATAGTAAAATTTCCACTTTTAAAGAAAATGATTGCCTAAAGTAGATTGCCGTGGGAAATACTAATGACTAAGGTAGTATATTTTAATACATATATTAGCTGTTTTTTCATCTTGAGTTTCCTATATTCTGCAATATTTATTTTACTAGGCCATATTCTCATTAAGAATCCAATTTACTCCACAAAAAGTTTACTGTCAACTCCATAAAATTGAGAGATAAGAGACATATAAAAGTCTGAGTCCAGAGCCCGTTAGTCTCTAGGAACTAACCCTCAGTTATTTAAAACATTAGACTTCTTGATGATCATCTAAAACACAGAGGCATGATAACAGTTGAGTTAGCTGATCTTCATCTTTAAAAATAATAATCACAGTAATCCTGTGCTCTGAGTAATTATCTTTAGAAAAGGGTCTTATCTGTCTAGAATTTATTTATCTGTCTAAAATTTCCCTTTGACCAGTACAGAAATACACAGGAATGTGTTTGAGATAATTAGAATAGCTTCATGGCACGAACAGATTTTTCACTTTAGGATTTTTCAACTTCTTTGACTGAGTTGCATGTTCATCATTCAGCAACAGTACAGGGAAACTGGATTGTTCGGCAGATCCATTTATTTGATTGTTGAAAGCAAGGATTGGAGATTTTGATATCTTTTTCTTGGGTCCCCAAACGTCTAGGAGGTAATAACTAAGGTTTTATGCAAGAAAGATGTCTTCAGTCCTAACTCTGTCCTCCTCTCAAAGAATATTGCTCAAATGAATGTTAAGAGAAAATCTGGCAGGGCCCGTTTGTGCTGTATTCCAGAAGGATGACCCCTCCAGGGTCCCCAGCAGCTGAGGTATAAGGATTCTTAGTATCATCTTCTTTGGATTTTATGGATTTTCATCTTGTTCTTCACTTCAGAAGGAAAAGGAGAACCTAAATGAAGAAATACAGGAATTGAAGAAAGAGAATAAGCTTTTGAAGGAAAAAAACGCTCTTGCAAATAAGAAGAAGGAACATTACGAATGTGAAATAAAACGACTCAATAAGGTACTGGGCTAGGTCAAGCATTGGGAGATCAGAGCAAAAACTTCCTGTAGACCAGCATATTTCCCCTGACACTCATGACAAAATCTAAGCTGCATGTGGCTTCCAGCCTCGCAGTAGGTGATTGATATTTAAAATATATTCAATCCTTTGATTTTGGATTTGAGTGGTTGTAGTCAGTTTGTGTTCAGAAGTGTCATTTAAGGATCTCCAAAGTGTCAAGTATGTGCTTGTTTGTTGACAAGATGATTTACAAATGTGTTGTTATATTAGATCTGCCTGTGGCTCAAGTCATTCAAGAGAAGATGGGAAAAAATAAACAATGTATTTTACCCTATAAGAGTGAAAGAAAATGTTCAGACATAAAATTCCAGGGCAAATATGTTTTTTCCTGATATTCTTGGAATGTCCTTCACAGATAAGTTAGAAAAACTAAGGATAATTGGAATTATATTTGAAAGCCCTCCCTTTTTGATACTGTGTTAAATTTTTCAACATTCCCTACCTCGTTTCCTTAAATGTAGACACCAGGATATAATGACTGTCTTAGAATAGGCAAAAATTACCTTACTGCTCATGTCCCTGTGCAGGCATCACTTTTATTGCATCTGCAGGTACAGTTAACAGAATTTTCAAAAATTAGAATAATAGTAATTTTATAATTCTGGTGATTTTAATCACAAGATCTCAAGAAAAATTAAGTTGAGTAAAATTTATGTCTGTATAAATATCACTTTCTCAAAGAGGACTTTTCTGGATCTTCTATTTAAAATTACCTGTTTTGCTCTTTCTATACCCTAAATTATTTTTTCCTTGGAACCTATTACTACCTAATATATGTCCATGTCTCATGTGTATTACCCTGTCTATTTTTTGCCTCCTACTTTGATGGTAAACCCCCTGAGAATAGGAATTTTGCATGCTAGAAATTTCTGCTAGTGCCCTAGGCACAGTGCTCAAGGCTCATGGTATATTTAGGCAGACATGACTATGTCTTGGTTTTCTTAAGATCAGAAAAAAAGTAAACTTTTAATTTGAAAACAGGTTTCATAAATTATATATTCATCTTTATAACTATGCAATTGCAAAATATAATATGTGTTTTTGTGGAGGATGAGACTCACAATGGTAATGCTCATGATGTGGCCCTGAGTTTTTTCTGTGTCCATTCATTGCTGTGTCCTTGTTCCAAGAACAAGGTCTTTCTCACAGTAAGTTCCTAAATATTTATTGAGTGGGATGAAAGGAAGAAGAGATAAATTAATAAATGAGCTAGTACACAATATGTTCAATAGCCAATTTTGCACCTGAGACTGATTGGCCATCATACACTAAGATAATTCATAATACTTCACTTATAAGTAATGAGAGAAAAATGAAAGGGCACTGAAATCCAGGAGTCATCCCACTCATCTACACCTTAAACTGTCACTAAAAAACATAAATGTAAAGTGATGATTGTGTAGAGTGATTTTTCTTTCTCATTAAGCACATTGTATTTGGACCTAATGGAGTATAAAAAGTTATTCTTCTATTTTATGACAGCTTTCTTTCTCATGATGATAAATACAAGTTATTAAAAATTTTGATGTAGGCGTCTGATTGTGCACACCAGCCCACACAGCATGGAGCCTTGAGCCTTCCCTACTTGCACAAGTTGCTGACCCCTTCACCTGGAGAAATTTATATCAGCTTAGTAATTAACACATGTTTTTTAGAAGTTTACAAAATGCTGTGTACTCAATTCAATATTTGCTTTGAAGACAATACCCAAGGGTTCTGTCTTTATCGAGTTCCTACAGAGAAGCCAGATGTTTAACCAAAGTGAAAATTCTCTAAGGCTGTACAGCCCGGGCCACCCATGGGCAAAGTTGATTTGTCTAAATCCCACCATTGTGAGATGAGAGGATGTGCTCAGTATGTCAGTATTGGTAGTAAATAACTCATTCTAGAGTTATGGGGATTTGCTAGAGAAAATCTGAAAACCCCAAGATGGACTGCATGTTTATTAGACTCACATTTCATATTTGACTAATATAAAAATTTCTGAAATGCTGAATCATATGAAAGGTAGACCAGAACATTCAAATAACAAGATCTACAGAAAAGGCCTAGTCATGGGAGTAGGACATAGAATGACATGTAAATTGGCCACATCCAGCTAGCTCATCCCACCCTAGATTCTCTCTACTACTATTCATATACTTTTTGTTTAGAAGTCACTATTCTTATATTTCCTAGAACTGTGTAGTTTTATACAAAGTCCAGCAAGGCCGGTGGTATTTCTCAGGTGGAACTCTTGCTTTACATACATGAGGTCCTGGGTTTGATCTCTAGGAAATGCCCCCCCCCATATAATAATGAGGGATGAGTAACAAGCATCATCATGGAGAAGAGACAGAAATTCTGAAAATATACATATGAAGAAAATCAGAGAAGAAAGCTACTTGGTTACATAAGCAGCACTGGAAATGAAATGCTACCTTGTGGGTGCACTTGAGACAATTGTAGCGCTACAGAGGAATTCATAGGGTATGGCAGATCTCAGATTAATAGTGTGCTCATTTCATAATGTAGGCCCTTCAGGATGTCTTGAAAATTGAGAGTTCTTCATCTTTTGAGGATTGTGCCTGGAAATCTAAAGTTGAGTGCAACCACACAGAGATGATAACAGAAATGGAGGTCCTCAAACAACAGGTGAGAAGTTGGAAGTGGCTTGATTGTGAGGAGAACATTGGGCCCATTGTTCGTGCTTCTTCGGCCATGTTTGGATATCTTCCTATTCAAAGTATGTCACAGGTTTTCACACTGCTTTCAATTAGAATTTTCTAATTTTAAAGCTTGATAGGAAGACTAGAGATCGGCTACTTCATTCCCATAGTTTATAAAAGAAGGAGTTGAGTTAAAAGGCTTGTCATGATCACACAGCTAAAAGAGGAGCATGCTACTTAACCTTTGGATGAGATTCTGTTGGCACTAAAACAACAGAATTTCATGTAGGCATGATTTATTTTGAAAACACTGCTAACCCAAACTCTTTTCAGAAAATAGTTGCAGGGGTGCAATCGACTTCTAACTGCTGGCCTCAACAATAAGAACAGCTTTAAAAAGAATATTTTGCACTGTGCAGCTACCCACACACATGTACCACCAACAATTTGTCAATGTACAATAGCTTCCTCCTCTCTGTTCATCAGAACTCACTCACTGTTGCCAAGAAGACAGCAAGTCCTAGGATGTGCTAGGCATGGTTTCTAGATTTATCAACATGGGACTGTGAGGATGTAGCACTGCCTCAACTACTTACACTAAATTTAGTTCTACTAGCTGGAGTTTGCCTTCCTGGGGGACCAGCCATGCATTTCTTTCCTTCTTTTACCAATTAGGTAAAAGATTAGAATGGTACATGGCAATATCAACAAATATAAGCTACATAGAGAAATCACAATCCCTGAAGTACAAATTGACAATAACATATTAGCCATGGAGCAGAGACTGTCATAGAGTAAAGGACTGGAAAATATTATTTCTTTCTCAGTATGATTTGTTGGCTAATTTTGCCCTGAGCAAATGTCAGTAACAGCATTCTCATTGCAATACACAGACTATTTCAGCAATTGTGTTACTGTTAACTTACTTTATAGTTACAAGTTCATAGGAAATAAACTATAAGCAAATAGAGCTAAACAATTTAAAGCACTTGGTGGTAAAGTCGAGTTTTCTCTTCTAGCAATCACATTTGCATAATTGCTTCATTATTACACTAGGATCATGTAAATGACTTAAAATAAACCCATGGAGAGAATAAGGGTAATTCTCAGATTGTTGAAGCTCTGTCAAATTCTCAACCTCTGAAGTACTGTTGGTGCTAGCCAGAATTCTCTGCGGGGTAGGGAGCACTATCTGTGTTCAAACACTTGAATCCTCTTTGGCACTCACATAATGCATACCCCATGGAACAGCTGCTCTGACACATGGAGATATAGTCATGTTTTAGCTCAAGTCCGGTACAGACAGTGGCTGGTGTCCTTTTTCCATAGTCATTCAGAGTCGACCAAAATTCAACTCCTTATGCTAACTTTCTGCATATACATCTTTTGTGTGTGTGTGTGTGTGTGTGTGTGTGTGTGTGTGTGTGTGTGTGTGTGTACTGGGGATCAAACTCAGGCCCTTGAGCTTGTGAGGCAGGCGTCGGAACCACTGAGCTAAATCCCCGGCCCTCTGCATATACATCTTAACTGCGCACGCTTCTAATCAGGTGCCTATAATTATTACATCACCAAGTCCCACATGAAACACTGGGAGCTTTGAATTTACCAAGAAACAAAGTTAGAATTTTTGCCCCTTCCTGAATACAATGATGACATGGCTCACAGCTAGAGTGGTCAATCCTGATCAGGTGGGCTTCTTCTGTTGAAAATAACACTGGTAATTGTTGACAGAGCATGAGTCTGTGTTTGAAATGGAACCTCATCTCTCAATGAAAAAATAAAATTAAAATATCAGCTTGGCTGTAAGTAGTTTTCTTGCAATGCTTCTATCAAAGCATTTATACCTATAAACAGCTATTATAATATTTAATTTCTTTTCTTGCCTTTGCATTTTGTTCTATTATTATTATTGACCTAAATGGATATACCTCTAGTTAAAATTTGTTGAGCTGCTCCTAATAAAAGTACAATGTGAGCTGGGTAGGGTGGCAGACACCTGTAATCCCAGCCTAGCTAATCTAGCAAGACTGCATCTCAAAAATAAAAAGGACTAGCCGGTCATGGTGACACACACCTGTAATCCCAGCACTTGGGAAGCTGAGGCAGGAGGATTGCTATGAGTTCGAGACCAGCCTAGACTACATAGTGAGGTCCAGGTCAGTTGCAACTACATAGTGAGACCCTGTCTCAAAAAACCCAAAAAATAAAAAAATAAATAAAAATAAAAAGGACTGAGGATATATCTTGGTGGTAGAGTGTTCCTTGAGCTCAATTCTCATTACATCAATAATAATATTAATAATAATAATAATAATAATACTGCTGCAATGAATTAGTGTTGGGTAGCAGTCCAGCCCTGAAGGGCTGGGGATGGTGATCAGTGACTGACTAGCATGGCTGATACCCTGGTTTCAATTCCTGTGAGGTTTCCATATAATTAATAATTTAAATCATGGTCTCAGGGGAAATCTTTTGCTTCATTTTCTAAGTTTCATTTGTTTTAAGTTTCATATGCTAGCTTCCAAGTCATCACTCAACAACAATAACTAGTTTTTTAGTTTGATCACTTTTCTGGAATATTTGGAATAGTGTTTATAAAGTATTCTGGTAAAATATTTTACAGTGTTTCTTCTTATCACTTACCTCCAGAATTACTCATAGAAGACAAGACTTTTCACAAGTTAAATAAATAAGCACCACTATGAAAATGAAAGGTAAAATTGTAGTCGTGTGCACTTCCCACCCTACTATGAAGATGTAGTCATGAACAGAGACAGCAATGCCTCCCATTGCAAAGGCTCAGGTTGTACTTTTTCCGAAATCACTTAAAAGGCCTAAGAGAAAAGTAAGCTAACAAGTTAATATCTATTAGGTGCAAATCTATGAAGAAGACTTCAAAAAGGAGCGCTCAGATCGAGAAAGACTTAGTCAGGAGAAAGAAGAGCTACAGCAAATCAATCAAACTTCTCAGTCCCAGTTGAACCGGCTGACTTCTCAGGTATAAGTCAAAGCAAAGTAATCTTGGTCAAACACATGTGTGTCTTATTTTTTCTTTCTCATTTTAAAAATACTGAGGTCTTTTTTTTTAACTTCTGTGGATTGACATTGGATGTTTTTGAGAGGGCAGCACCTGCTATGAAATCTTTCTTCCACAATCTTGTAAAGCGAAGAAAATGACTGGACATTTCTTTTAACTTAAGTATATTAAGGAATTACTCAAGAAATTGGATTCCAAAGTCTTTTATAAAATACAGTTCTTGTGATCTTTTCCTCATAATATTTATCTTTGTAGACTGGGAGTTGAACTACCTACTACTCAAATACAGTGAAGTAGTTTCCAAATTCTTGCCATTTCCTTTGAAGGGCTGTGTTGGAATGTTCCTATCTTTTAAAAACTTACAGTTTTTTAAATGCCATATATTTGTCTAGTGAAACTTTAGGATTTTGTTCAGTTTCTTCTCAGATTTAATGTAACTAGAGCAGTTTCAAGGAAGCCAGTCTACTGGAAAAGAATATATTAAATGTAATCAAACTAAAATTGAGTGTAATCAAATATATAAAAAGTAGGTTCAGGAAGTTGCCATGATGAGCAAATATTGATGTTAATGAAGAAAAATGTAGCTAACACAATTTTGACTTAAGGAAATAAAATAAACCACAAGATTTTTGATTTGCAGAATCATGCATTGCTTTTCAATAAAGAGGAAATTTGTGTGAGATGTGCTATGGTAGCTCTTTAGCTTGAAGATTTTAGTCTTCAAAAAATGTTTTAAGCTATTAATCATCTCTTCTTCATAAAAACTATATTACAAAATTAATTTAATTTCCTTCCTCATATGTTTGCAAGGATTAACTTGAAATTCTTAATTTTATATGGGAAATTATTGGGCAGAACCATTTCCTTTCTAAAAAATTAGAAGGAAAAACATAAAGGAATTAGAAGGATAAAATTATAATTAGATAATTTGCTGAAAATGATTTAGACATCCTAATAAATAATTTATGAAACATGGGTGGGAAAATGTTTTGATTATTCTTGAAGAAATTTCTCTCTCAATTTTTATTTCTTATATGCTAAGTGGCCTTGTTTAAAGTTGCCAGTGCACAAATAGTAATTTTACTTCTGCTATATTTTAATTTTATTCATTTGATTTTATTATGTTGAAATTGTTGGCAAATTGGTGTCTAAGATTGGCTACTGTCTTATCTTTACAAAACTTTTTCCAGTCAGGAGCATGTATCTATCTACTTAATATTTTAGGTTATGACCCACAGGTAATTTTCTGTTAATATCAACAAAATAAATGCATTTTCTAAGTATGGTAGGACAAAACTATGTTTATAAGTGAAGAACCAATCTTCAGATCTAAGTAATATATTGACTTATCAAAATTTTTCTTTATTTTTCACTCCAGGAGAAAAAAATAATAAAACTCACAAAGAGATAGAGTAGATTTACTTGATGATCTATGTTATATATAACAGCAGAAAAAAAGTCATGATACAATAAAAAGAAGTGACATTATTTTAGTCAAGTAGAATACTATTAATGTTGTTCAACTGAAGTTTAAATGGAATTTTTTTGTTAAATTACTCTGGCACTAGTTATATATAGAGAGTGTATTCATTTTATCACTTAGGATATTTTAAGCCAACAATGGGTCAGTAGACAATGCGGTGAAGTGAAAGATACTTAGGGTACTTAGAAATAGGAGGAATATAGGGGAAAGTCCCTATAATCCTGCTTCCTTTGACACTCTTTTGGTAGTGGTCTTGAGCAATTTATTTGATGTTATGCTTCCTTTTCCTCATCAGTAAAATAAGAAAGATTAAACAATCATCTCTAGAATGTCCATTAAAACCAAAACAAATTACCTAATCTTGCTCTGTACACTCACCTATAAAATAAGGATAAAGATAATCACCTCATGTCTTCTCGGTTTTGTCTCTTAATTGGAGAAGCACAGGGGGTGAGAACTGCTATAAAAAGATCTAGCTCAAATCATGGCTCAAAAGCATTTCATAATTGTAGTCCATTAAAGGGATCATGTTTAGCAGTTTCATTTAGTTGTAAAATTAAAGTGCCACTTTCAGTTCCTTGTAATCTAACTTTAATCTTTTCATTCTGCAAAGCATTCTGCCATGTGCTTTGAGGAAATTAAAAAATCGGTCCTTGCAATTGAAGGATTCATAATGCACCAAAAAGACATATATAGGTTATCACCATCATTTGCAAATTCTATATTTGTGAATTTGTCTACTCCCCAAATTAGTGTGTGAAACATGAACAATGTAATATAAAACTTGAGTCACCTGACACATGTTCACAGCTGAAACAAGGCAGTATTCTGCCTTTTTATGTTCTTTAATTATTCTATGTCTGTGATACAGAATAGTGATACTTGTTTGAGAAACTGATACACACATATAAAAACATCTTGGTCATTTTCAATCCTTTTACCCACTTGTTCCTCCCCTCCCCCTCCCTTGATCCTCTTGTTTCAGTTCATACACTGTAATGTGTCCCTTTATGGTTTGTTTAGGGTCATGTTTTATTTGTTTGCTTTGCTTTTTTTTTTGTTTTTTGTGGGTTTTTTTTGCTATTTCACTGTTTAAAAACCTCATACCTAGTGCTAAAGTACTGTCTAGGTTCTTAAATATAACATGGTTGAGATGAATAAACAAGTGTGTTAATTGAACTTTGTATAGGCACAACTTATGTGGCTATTGACTATGAGTTTAGTGTTAATGAATCAACAGTATATATTAAATAACATGTCTTCAAACATTAATGCACATAAAAGAAGGTTATATACCAATCAGTTGAAAAAAATGTTGTAACCAGAGGCTTACAGGAGCCTAACCTTGTATTTCTCTTGGGAGAACTAGTTCAACGTTTGTAATGACTTTATAGATATTTATGGCAAATGGCAAGAATTGGTTATGCATAGTATATAATGGGCTAAAAAGTCACATAGTAAATACATAAGGTTAAGTGAAAAGAGAGGGGAGGAGGAAATAACTAGTTCCGATGGGTGAGGTCTGGAAATTACCTTGCAGGACAGAGGACTTGTAACCATGCTTTATAGGGATGTAGAACATGGAGTGTAGGGTTAACAATGGTATGATACAAAGGGAAGCCAGTTTTTTCTAGGAGCATCAGGTGTGGAGAGAAGCCAGTCTAGGTGACTCTACAAAGATAAAATTGGGCCTTAAACAGTAAGAAGACAGAAAGCAGAGCAAAGTAATTTTGAGCAAATTACTCAGCATCTCATGTCTCCATGTTCTCATCTATTGAACGGGGTTATAATATAAAGCATCACATAAGGCCATTGGGGAGCTTTAAGAACTTACTGTACATGAAGAGTGCAGATCTGTGCTTGGCCTGTATTAATTGTATATACATCTTCTAAACCTTATGGTGGAAGCCTTTGAATGTCAGACTGTCCAATTCTAATTTTATTTAGTGATCCTCAGAAGGTGTTTCTACATGTGTATCAAAATAGACTAATCCAAGGCTAAGAATTAGAATGGGCTAAACAGATTGGAACAACAATTTAAAACTATTCAGCTTTATAAATTTCACTTAAGAATTTTAAGAGAGAATCAATGCATATCATAATTAAACCAGATGTGATTCTCATTGGCATGACTGCTTTCAATGCCTTCTGATTAGGTCACTGACACCTGGGTCAAGATTAGTTTCGACTCCAGTGACTTGAACTCTTCCTGATAAACAATTTTTTTTCCCCTTGTAGATAAAAGCTTGTCAGATGGAGAAAGAAAAACTAGAAAGGCAACTAAAACAGGTATGTTACCTGTACCTGTGCCCCACTGTCCTGGTTAAGTAGCAATTTTAAATTTCACCCACACATTTTTTCCCATGTATAATATTTTTCACGGTCTCCATTAAAGCACACTTAAGCTCTGCTACAGATGGCCTAGGAAAACCCATGCTTTTCATTATCCACTAAAATATGAATGGATGGATTGTGCTTAGGAACCACCAAAGTTTTTCAGCATTAACATTCATGAAAAACACATGCTGTGAAAAGCATGGTACCAAAGGAGCCAGACTTAGTGGGTGTTTACTCAAATGAAGATTTCTTCAGAAACCTACCCACACCTGGGAAATACATCTCCTTGGTACTTCTTACAGTTGCTTTTACCATTTATGAGGAAAACTACATCACAGACTGTGATTTTAGAAAATAAAATCTCTTCTTAGACACTGAATCACTCCATTTTGCTAGTTCTCCAGTAGCTTTAAAAATAAATACTATTGCCAGGGATTTAGCTTAGTGGTGCCGCTGCCTGCCTCAAAAGGGCAAGGTCCCAAGTTCGATCCCTGGTACAAAAATAAATAAATACATACATACATACATACATACATATTATTTAACTTAATTCATAACTTCCAGCTTCGAACTTAATTATGTCTCTGGCTGGAGTTTAATAAAACTTATTTTATGGTTCAGTGGATAGTTTGTATTTGATGAGGACCCTCTATGAACATGACTCAGACACAGTAAACTGCATGTATTTTTCAAGTGTTTCTAATTATTCAAAATGAAGAATTAGTTGTAGTGTCATCTTAGGTAAACTTTAGCTCTTAAACCTCATTGGTATCAGTCCCCAGTCTCTATTGACTTTTTTTTAACTAGTTAGAATCATGGCACATAAGGCAAAACTTTAGGGTTTAAACCAAACTTTGTTGCAAAAAGCAAGTGTACATGTGACTTCCCAATTTCAGCCACTTCCAATGAACTGACAGCATTGTTCTCCCCAGATGTATCTCCCAAGCTGCAACTGTGGCACAGTTTTCCACCTGCGGGACCCATCAGAACCAGCAGGGCCCCAGGCTGTGCAGGATGAGCGGGAGCACCCAGTAAGTAAGAGTTTCTATTTTAGTAATAAGCTCTTGGTCTTCTCTTTTAGTAGAAATGACATGCATCTCTGGAATTTGGGCACATAATATTGTCTATAGAAAGAGCCTCTATTTTGTCTCTGTCTCTAATTTGCAAAGTTTCAGTGGTCCATGTACATACTGAAATTATCCTTGAGGCACTGGATCCATGGGGCACATAGATATGAATAAATTAACTAACAGATAGCAAATTGAACTATAATTCCTTGAACAAACATAACATTTTATATGGATCATTTCCAAGGTCCTGTTTGACTCTACTCAAGGATACTAATATCTATAAAGAGAAGCAAAGAGGATTTAGCAAAACAAAGAAATGAAACCCTTTCTCCAGTTGTACTTATTTGACCCATTATGAATATCATTGCATGTGGGCAAAACGGTTTTGACATTTTCTGATTGGAAGGACTTTTTTTAAAAGATCCAAAGTAAAATGACCCATTTAAGTTGTTCTCTATAGCTGTGTCTACCCAGGCAAAATAAAATGAACAGTTGAGCCATTATCCGTGAGTGGAATTGATTTGGACAGTCAACCTGAAAAACTCAGGCCGGAAGCGCCCTTCCTGTCCCTCTCCAGAGCAGTATTGCTCTCACCCTTCCCCCATGATGGGGGTGCTGACATGTATGCCCCATTTTGCTTACATAAGCAGAACCATTATTTAGGGAAAAATACACATTTTTCTTCATTTTTTCAATTTTCCCAAACAACAGTACTCATCTCTTAGATTTTATTATTTATGCTTCTAATTGTGCGGCAAGTTGATGATTTTTAACTGAGATTTTTAAAACTGCATTTATAAAAAACATTATTCTCTGGTTTGCCTGAAACTCTTATGTTACATATCTGACTGTGACATCAAGCCTGTTTCCCACTAAGGGAGGAGATGACTCTTTGGGTGGCAAAGACCTCAGGATTTAATGAGCATCTCTCATTTGACGCTGGTATGACACAGCATTCTGCTGAGAATTTATTTTCTTGCTGTTGCCATTTGCTGGTTGCTTTCCATCTTCTCTTTCCTGTCTTCTTTAGCTCTTTTCCAGCTTTTCAGCCTTTACCAATAACTTTCTGGGATCCTCAAGCATAGCTATTATTTCTTTAAAAATATTTTTAAAGGATGTAAAAGTAAATTTGATTTGAGCAAAGATTTGAGCAAACATAAAGAAATGGAAATTTTCTTAGGAGCTTAACCCCTAAAGGTTGTGGAATTGGAGATATAATGCTGTGAAAGATTAAGCATAAAACTTGCTCGGTCATTCAAATTTATCTAGGAGATAGTGTTTTTGTGGAATCTTTATTAATGGAAAGAAGGAAAGAATTCGCATAGAATGGCTCACAAAATTTTCCTTTTACTTAGAAAAGGCAAGGAAGTCTAGATCATATAAAATTAACACCAAATAAAGGTCTATCTTGAGAAAAGAATTCCAAGCTATGTATAATAGCCTACATTTTCAAGCAGAATTCCACTCAGCAAAATCTCAATAACAAAACCTGAAGGTTAATTTAAAAGAGTATTTTATATTGCTTGCCTACATCTAAGCCTGAATTAAACCACATACCACACTGTTAGTAAAATTACAGTATATTTACCTTCTTTTGGCAAGTTTCCTGGAATATAAAACTGGGGCTCATGTCATTTATCCTATGTGTTACTTGAGACATCTAAAATAAATGTGAAGATAAAAAACAGAGGTGAGCTCATTTCCTCCTCTAGCTCTTTTGTGGGCCCCAAGGAGCTGAGGGGCTAGGTGTCTGAGCTGAGGTGAAGTGGGGTCAGACTATACTGAATGCAGCCTTTCTCAGGGTCTTGTCAGATAACCAAACATTAGACTCTTTGACATGGTCTGGCAGCCTTAAAAAGTGCTCCCTACTGGCTCATTGTTGCGTTATTTATAGGAGATGATTAAATAATTGGACCAAAGGTCTGTATTCTCTGTGTCTTGTGGGGATGTTGGATGCAGGGTGAGTGTTTGGACTAGCAAGACAGAGTGGCTTTGTGGGCGGGGAAAGCTGAAGTTGCTCCAAGGGGCTAAGCACCAAGATGGTAGCCTTGGAGCTATCTTGATCATTTAGGTCTAGAGCTGATTAATTATTCAATGTCATTTGTTCTTGTTCTCTGATATTCAATATCTAGCTGTTCTATCTTAATATGTGTAAACCTGGAGAAAAATTCCAAAAGAAGAGTCTAATTCCTTTAAGTCTAAACTGAGGAATTTAGAGAAGGGTTTCTGCCAAGGAACAGTACAAAGAAGAAATTTTCCATGCCTCAACCATGCTGAACCTCTATACACCATATACACATGATAGCTTAGATTTCTTCCCTGAGCCATAAGAAACAATAAACTTGTATTGTTTTCCCGGTCTTCTTATTGCCTCCAGTGTAAGGTTTTTACAAAGAGCATTTGTTGATGGTAAGATGCTTTGTGTTATTGATGGGCTTCAGTAAGCTTCACAGAAGTGTTTATACTTCTGCAGAAATCCAAAACACATCTGTCTCAATTTAAAAAAAAAGAAAGAAACAAAGAAAACACACTGCAACCCCAAAATCACAGAAGGTCTAACCAAACACAATGAATTGAGGAGGGGGTTGGAATAGATGGTGGTAGCAATGAGGGAAGTAAGTGGAAGAGGGGAGATAGGCAACAGGTTTGGTAGAAATTACTTTTATTTTGCCTGTTTAATAAGAGCCTCATAGCATAATTATATTTTTAATGTGCCACTATGCTTTGTTTGAAGTCCATATTGCTATAATAATGTTTTATTGTTCCACGCAGCCAGACTACCAGTGGTATGCTCTTGACCAGCTTCCGCCAGATGTACAGCACAAGGCAAATGGTAAGACCACAGCTGTATCGAGCATTCTTTCATGTTTATATTTTAATGGGATCTTTTTAGGGTATTTACTCAGCATACATTCATTCATACTAGGGAGGATTTACTGTAAATTTGTGTTGCACACACAACTCTAACTTGATGCACCTGGGGTTAAATTGAACCCCTTAAGACAAAATATTCATATGCAGAAATGCATAAATCCCAATTCTGACTTCTGTTCCTATTCCAGTCTCAGAGTCAGAATTCCATCTGGGGTTAGAAATAAAAACTTTCAGCAGAACTGTATTATAACAACAACAACAAAGCTTTGTGATTCCACTACAAAAGACAGATGCACATCTACTATTCCAGGTTGAGTTCTCTAGACAGATGTTTTAAGTGTCACTGGCAGACAGACAGAGGAAACCAAAGGCTCAGAACTGTGTTCCCTTGTGGCTAAATGTCAGACTCCAAGACAGAACTCTTCTTCATTTAGGCCAGAGTTCCCCACAACACCCACCTCAAATTCCACTGGGAAAAACTAAAGTCACCTATAAAATACTCGCAACTGAGAGTACTTTTTGATCCTAGTTTTCTTTGGTTTACCATTCTCTTCCTTCATTCCAGAATTTGCCAGACTTCCTACTACTACTTTCTGCAATCTCATGAGGCCACCCAGGAGTGAGCTGCATAAACTAAGATATAAACAGAATCCCATTTCTGCTGTCATCACATGTATCCAAAAGTTAGCAATGTTTATTACATGTTTAAAGTCTCCTATGACACACACCTTGAGTCTACCTTGTTAGTTTCCAGAAATTTGAATATTCCCCAAGATGAACGCTATTCTAACTGCAGGATACTTGACATTTGGTCAAATTCAATTCAGAGCTGAGGTCATATCACTTTAGTTTTGAATGCAAGGAATCTACAATGACATGGAAGCAGGGAACCAGGATTGTCACACGTAGTTGTGTAGGCTGTGAATTTCACAAGTCTAAAAGGCTCTCTTCATTGTGGTCTAATGAAGGCAACCTCCTGGTGTTGTGCAGTACACACAGCAATACTCACAGTGACAATGTGAGAGACTATAGCTTAGAGAAGAATTGTAAAGAAGAAATATAAAAAGTGATAATTCTATGCTAAAATATCCAGGTATTTTATCAGAGAGCTATCAGACTTTCCATTTTCTTTCCTTCCTACTACAAATATAAACTGTGGTTTTTATGACATTTTGGGGGTTCTAACCATAATGGAAAACATTTATTAGAAAGGCATACTATTAACTAGAATGATTATAGCTTAATGTCTGTGTTTTTGAAATCCATTATTGTATAATAGTTGAATTGCCACCGAATTATAACTTTTAATTTTCTATTGGTCTGAAATGAATATTGAAAGTATTTTCTCCCTGATTTGCAGTTTAGAAGAGATTACAATTACACAAAAGAAAATTCAGTAATATCATCAGGCCATTTATATAACAATATTGAATTCTTTCTGAATTAATGGTACAGAATCTAATTCTATAAATGAAAAATAAATTGTGCTTCACAAATTAAATTAAAAATGAAAAAAGGAAATTTTGTAGTGACTATGAGATCTACTGACTTTTGTCTACTTAAATTTAATAAGCTTTGTAATAAGCATACTGAGTAAAAGCATCTACAAGTACAACATTACAAGTATTTTTAAAACATTTATTTTAATATTTACTGCAATGTTATGAAATGGAATTATTTTATGCCATTTTACACGTGAGGAAACTGAAGCGTAGAGAATTTAAGTAACATACTGAAGGTCCACAGTAAAATTTAGCACCGGGATTAGAATCTTTAATATTTAGGATTCCAAACCCTGGACTTTGAAGCACATCGTAGAGTGCCTTTGAAAATGTACTTCTCTCATTCTATGAAACACTTCAGAAGCTGTAGATGTAAAAATGAGAAGGGGATTAACATTTAATCCTCAATAACTGTTTTACAGACTCACAATATATGCTATCTGTGTTACACAGCTGCCATTTAGCATAGCACAGGTAAAAGACACAGCATTACATAAGAGTAGGTATGTGATTAATGCGTCTTGGCCTAATCTGTGCGTGGGAGCAACAGTGGAACCTGATAGAGGTGTTGGGATTTGAAACTTGTCTTTCCCTATACCAACACGGCCCTGAAGGTGACTGTGACTTGTCTGCCTCAAGGAGAAGACTCATTTATAAGTAGGGAGTCACCCCCCAAAGAAGAAATTCCTTACTCAGAAATCTACCTGTTCGGAATCCCTTTTGCTCCTTTTTTTGCCCCCTAGCTCCTGGTTATTTACATGTTAAGCCAGCTCATAAGAATTGACAATAACTGGAATCACAATGATTCAAGCGCTGTTATTTCATGGCAGTGATGATTCTTGCCATGTTTTGGCTCATTTAATTGGAAAGTTTTTAATCTGTAGGTTTTGTCTCAATTACTCAGAATTCATTTTATAGTAATGATTATTAAGAAATCATAGTTTTATATTTTTTGATTTTATAAACAATTTTGGAATGATTTTTTAATTATATGACAAATATATTTATTTATTATTCAAGAATATATTTCTCATCAGTATACCATGTTTTAGGCCTAAAATACCAAAATTAAAACTTTTTAGGGAAAAATACATGAAAAATTTAGAGCCTATATTTGATCATCTATAAACAGAAATTATTTCTCAAAATGAATGTTTCATTCTTCTAATACTCATTTTACTTATATAAAAGAAATATCCTTTTTTAAAATGTGAGTATTTATTTTAAAAATTAGCACATAAGTATATAAAATTATGAGGTACAGTGTGATATTTCCATACACGTTTTATAGCAAGTACTAATCAACTCAGGGTAATTAACATTTACATCTCCTTATCATTACTTTATGTTTGGAATCGTTGAGCTCTTTCCTTCTAGTTCTTCATAAAACATATATTAGTTTACCACAAGTTATAATCATCCTCCTGTGTAGAACAGTAGAACTTCCTCTTGCTGTATCTTGGTACCCATTATCCAACTTTCTTCTATGCCCCTTCTCTTGGGGCATAGAAGCTTCTAGTACTTATTCTACTCTCTTCTACTTTGAGATAAACATTTTTGGTTTTAATGGTATTTGTCGTTCTGTGTCTACCTCATTTCAGTTAATATAATGTCCTTCAGTTCCATCCACTTTGTCGCAAATGACAGGATCTCCTTTTTCTTCAGGCTGAACAATATTCCATCATGTATGTAGATCACAATTTCTTTGTCCATTCATCTGTTTAGTGCTAAGGTTGATTCCATATCTTTGCAGTTATGAATAGTGTTGCAATAAACATGGAACGCCAGGTATCTCTTTCATATGTTGATAACATTTCCTTTAGCTATTCTCCTGGAAATGTGCTGCTTAGATCATGTGGCAGTTATGTTAGAAAAGCCGATATTTAAGTGAATATTCATTATTGTGTCATGTCTAGTAAATCATCTAGTTCTGTTTTGGTGATTTGCCTGATTATTCACAAGGTTGCCTTTTGGGCCTCTAATAAATGCATCATATTATAGTTTTGTCTTAGTATCTTTTGTTATGATTATTTCTCTTATGTCCATTAAGTCTAAAATAGCCCTGTTTTCTATCATTGAATGTTTATAGAGAAGTAGCTTTATGCATTTTAAAAATAAGGTGAGTAATGAGTGATTAAATTTCAATAATGCCAATAGGTCCTCTTCTAACATTTCTGGGGCCTGGTAGAAGAATAAACAGAGAGCTTCATGTGATATGTGTAAAGTTTATGAACCAAGCTTAGAAACTCTTCAAGTATAATCTGTCCTTTTATCTTGATAAATATACTAGAGTAAACTTGGAATGCTCAGTTGCAAAGCCAGCTCTTTGCTAGAACATAGTGGCCTAGAGAGACCGGAGCCTGGGCCTCCTGCTGCCCTCTCCCCTTCTTCCCTCCTCCTCACTGTGTGGGCTCTTGAGTGTGGATTTGAGGGCAGTCTAGCTGGCACATCCTAGCTTCCTCTCTTCCCCTTTCACTACCATGCGAACTGCTCCCCTGCACAAACTCGGGCCTCAAGAAAGACCTCTACATGTCCTGGAAACAGGGCCACGGCCATCTGGGCAAGAGACTCATTTGGGTGCCAGAAGCCTGTTCTGGAGGAAGGATGTTTATCCTGTGAGGAGGGGTTTGGCTGGAACAGGACCAGAGCACAGTCCTCCAACGTGTGGGGATCCAGTGGAGAGCTTCTCTCCAAGAAGTATTGTGTACCACACAGAACGGCCTTCTGGTCAGCTAATTCCAATTTTGATCTCAGTAACTGTTGTTACTTTAGGGTGTTTGACAGACACAGTGAAAAGCAACTCTTCTTTAAAAAAAATCAAAGATTTTCAAGAGCTGTTATAGTTATAGTGGTACAGGGCTATAATCTCAGAATTCTAGGCAGCTGAATCATGAGGATCACAATTTCAAGCCTATCCTGGGTAACTTAGCAAGATCCTATCTCAAAATAAAAAAAGACCTGAAAACATAAGTCAGAACAGAAGTTCTAGATTTAATTTTCAAAACCAAAGGAGAAAAATTATTTTAGTATTCTCTTTTTTAATTTGGTACCTGGGATCAAACTCAAGACTGGGCACTTGCAAGGCAGATGTGGTGCCACTGAGCTAAATCCCCAGCCCCAAAGAATGATTTTTAAATGAAAGTTTTTAAGGCATTTGAGACTTGCTTGGCTTTCTCACTAAAAAGAATGAAATAGCCTTTTAATTTTTTATATTTTTTTGTTTTTATTTTTAATTTTTTAGCAACACGTTTGCAGTGCATAATGATTACATTCATTGTAGGGAATTTAGAAATGTGATTTTTACAAAGGGCGTTTTAATCTCATTTCATGTGTTATCAGAATGGGTTATAAAATGATTTCCATGTTTTCAGATCAGTTATAGCAGAGTAGAGTCAGTATAGCCTGCAAACATGTTGTTTGTTTTTTATAATATAAAAAAGCTGTGATTCGTGAATGTATTGCAGGCCAGTCCCTTCTGCACATTCCAAATTTTTCATATGGTGCAGAGTTGAACTTTATATAGTGAGCTTGAGCTCAATTCTTACATATTTGGAAGGACATGAAAGATAGGTGAGATTGTGTTATAAGCAAAAATAATTACTTATTTACCATACTGAAGATCAAAACCCAAATATGGTAATTGGCCTTTACTACTGTCTAATAGTGACAAATTATATTTGAGTACTGATTGACTTTGTAGAACTGCCCTAACATACTGCTAGAAACTAAGTGACATAAGAGAGCAGAAAGTCATTCTTCACAGCTCTGGAGGCAAGAAGTTAAAACTAAAGGTGTTGGCAGGGCCATGTTCCCTCCAAAGACTTCCTAAGGAAATTCCTTCCGAGCCTTTCTCAGCTCCGGTATCTCGAGGTAACCCATGGCTATGGTAGCACAGCTCCAGTTCCCACCTTCATCTTCATGTGATCATCTTCCCTTGGGTCTGTCTCCAAATTTTTCTTTTCTTGTTAGTCCTCCATTCATGTTGGATTATAGCCCACTCTAATTATAGTATGACTTTACCTTAACCTGATTACATCTGCAAAGACCCCACTGTATTGTATTTCAAAACAAGTCATACTCATAGGATCTAGGTTTTCAGGATCCTCGATATAGCTTTTGGGGAAGAGATAATTTAACCTACAACTCTAACAACATGGCAGACCTTATTTTGGGTTCTCTGTGTACATGTAGTGTCATCATTGTTCTTGGTTAGGACATAGACAAATGTAGGCAGTGTGACTTCAAAGCCCACGTCATAACCACTTAGCATTGTGAACTATCTCATGTTATATAAGTAAAATCGAATAGATCAAGTTTCCATGTGGTTTTTTCAAATAAATTCTAATGGTCTTTCTTTAATTAAAACCAATATCTTTATTTTCCAGTTTGTGTCTTTTTATAACTGTTTTTTTATCTCATCACTACAGAAAATTGTAATGTTAGTAAAATGGCTCTATTAATTGGATATTTTCAGCACTTATCTGTAGGAAAAACTGGAGAAACCACTGTAAATAATAAAGACTACCAATAAGATGTAAGAAATAGGAAATGTAACATTATACTCAGTATAATGTTCAATACAAATGGGCCAATTGTTGAGTATTTTTTCTTTTACAAAATATATTTTCATTAGTATTTTACCAGTGTCTAATATAGAAAATTAGAGACAGGTAATAACATGCCTGCTTCAAGATTATGAAAAGAAAATTTTAGGAGAAATGCTTCTTGATCCATAAAATAATGCTATGAAAGTCAGATTATCAGTAAGAGCAGTGACATTGCAAGGGAAAATAAAATAAATTATAAAAGCATATTTATGTATATGTGAATATACACGTAGTCAATACACTCCTATTCAAACATGAATTTGTAAGCAAACATTAAACATCCTAATTAACAACCATATACACACAAAGATGGATAAAAGATATATAGATAGATATATAGATAGATAGATGATAGATAAGAGAGTTAGATTAAAAGATTCACATAATACATCTAGAATAGTCACAACTTTGTCAGGTAATATTATTACATTAATTCTATGGGCAAGAATGCAAGACATGTTAGTACATCCCAACCAGAAAGGATATTTATTTGTCTAAAGGATATTTATTGCTTCCTGTTCCTCCCTAAGCTTCCAAGTGGTAGGAAGAGTATGTGCCACAGAGAGTGAAGGGCTCTCAGGCCTTATGGCTGCTCCCATGCATCTGTATAACCTCCTCTTCTGGTGCCCACTCGGCTTCATTTTCAGCCAGTCCTTGGTGGCAGTCAAGACAGGGATTGCCAAAGTCTCAGGGCCTTGTTCAGTTCATTTCAGCACCACACTGTTAATTTCCACTCTTCTGAGTGTAAAAGCACATGATGGAACACATAATACATCATCAGGTGTAGAATGTGTGAATGGACTTGCCACTAGCTGCCTCTTCTAGCACAGTGGGCACCTGTGATTCCCTGGTGGCCTTTTTTACCCTTGCCATTGTAACCTGGAGCCAAGCCTTAGAACAAGAGAGGCTTCTGCCTTCACTGTATAAGGAACTCTACGAGACCTGTCTTTTGGTTGAAATGTCCATTCTGCCATGAGTTATCTCATGCGCTGTAGTCTCTCTTCATCTAAAAACATGGCAATGATGACCTTGATTCTAACCTCTTTTGCAAAAGGTTAACTTTTGAGTTCGTTTTTCTTTTTCTCGTGTGTGTGTGTGTGTGTGTGTGTGTGTGTGTGTGTGTGTGTGTGGTTGGTAAGGGAGATTGAGGCAAGTTCTAGATCATTGAACTGTATCTCAACCCTAAATATCTTTTTAATTTAATGGTCACAAGTAACTTACTATTTCCCTTTTGGATTCTGTTGTAGTTGTTAACAAAATGTTAGTTTGGCATATTTTAATATGATAAATGCAAGGAGGACAATGTAAAACATATTTATAAGCTATAATAAAAACATTTTCTTGACATTTTTAATTTTTGTAAATTTTTCTTGTTGCATGTAAACCTCTTTTATTTTTGTCTTCCTTGTAATATTCATTTGTGGCAATTTATTCTGATCTACACCTGATTTTTCTTATTAGTCTTCATGATACACTAGCACATCTTAAGAACAGTGATCTTCTCTATGGCTTTAACAATATATCCAGTGACATATTTTAACCTTCACTCTTGTGTTCATTTGGCAAATGATTTTTCTCTGGGGTAAGTGCTGAGCCTAATAGCAAATGAAATGGCTTACTTTCACATAGAAATACCCAAGCCACTGGAATCCTAGCCAGAATGAGAACATTCTTCTTTGGGCATGATGAGAACTAAGCCACAACTGATTTCACAAAATGGCAAGCATATGTCAATGCTTAAAATAATAACTCTCCATTTCCCACCTCTTGATTTCTCCGTGTAAACTTGTGGGAGTTCATGAATAAAATACCTCTTCTTTGGGGCCAGCCTAGAAATTTATGTTAGCCCTAAGCTAGAGAAAAGAAAAGAAATTTTAATTTGAAAATTTTTCCTGCTGTTTTTCATAGATTTCTCCTCAGAAAAGAAAGCCAATCAGTAGAAGCCACAGAGGAGGATGGCGAGCTGAGGGTGCGCTTGGCTGAAGGCCGGCTTCGTATCCCCACTGTGGCTTGTTTCTGCTGCAGCTGCTCACCGTCTGCCCCGTTATGTGTGCCTGGTAGTGCTTCCCCTTGGCGCGGACAGAGGCGTGGACAGACTTCTGACAACTGAGATCCTGACTGAGCCTAAGGAGCCAGTTATTACACAACTAAATACAACTTCTAGTTTCCTCCAAATGGGATTTGGCAGCTTGAAACTGTCTGCAGCTTACTGCTGCTGGATTGTTGAATTTACCAAAATGATTCCATGATGTAAGCAGCTAGGTTTTTGGTGGAGCAATATTATATGTTGTATATATTCCCAAAGGAAAACTGTCTGCCGTTCTGAATTTTTAACATCGCTTTCATTTTCCCCTAGGAGCTCAGTTCTTCAGCCAGTTTGTCTAGATCCTATGTTCATCCTTTTTGGCCTGGATGAAGCTAAAGATAGAATTGAAGAGATGTATATACTGTACCCCCTGAAATCAAATGGGAGATTCAAACTGAATAAAATAGTGAGCTTGAAACTATGCTTTAGATAGATTCATTTAATATGAGGAAAAACTGTGAGCCTATTTCATTTTCAGGTGAAACAGTTTATGAAAGATAAAGTCCTAATGTAAAGGTGATAGCTTTGCTGTGTCCACATATAGTTTAAGAAGTAGTGCAGATCTCTCTATCTATATCTACATAAATATACACACACAGAGAGAAAGACAGAGAGAGAGAGAGAGAGATACATATGTGGGGGGTGGGGGTTTGTGTATACACACATATACATGAGCTTTCTGCTAGGACCAACTTGAGCTCCCCTCTGTGTGGATAAATATGTAATAAAAGTTTGAGATCCAAAGATACCTGTGTTTTTGGAAATGCTTAGATAAAATCAGGAGCATCCACTACATATGCAATGAAATAAAACTACCCAGATACACTAATGAAACCATCTAGTTTGAATTTCCCAAACATATACTGCTTAATTCCAGCTTCAACTATTTTTGTTTTGATTTCTAGATATACTTGAAGCTTTACATAAGTGGAGGGTGAAAGACTGCAGGAAATTAAACATTTTCAGCCCTAGTCATTGCCCACCTGGAACATAATTCCTGTGAAAGAATTATTTTTCTCTTACAGTGATTTCCTAATTCTTTGTTTTTGCTACTATATATCAAAGAGACAAATCATTTTCATGCATTACTTCAGTATGAGTGAATCATAAAAACGGGAGTTAAGTTAGCTGCATGAAGACATTTGACATATTTTAAAGTTTCCATTTCCTCAGATAGTGGAAATGGTGTTGCAATGTCTGTTTCTAGAGGTGAATTAACTTTGCCAACCAAGTTGTGCACACTGGAATAAAGCTGAATATACACAAAACGTAACACTTTGATAAGCCAGTTACAAGTCTGTTCAGCAAAAATTTGAAATATGAAATATGTACCTACTCTGATAATTTCACTTGAGCTCCCTGCAGGGGACGACAAAGGTGGGAAATCTTAAGAACGCAACCTCCATACCCAGAAAACAGATTTTCACAACACTGGCCTAATATTCAGATAATTTGTGACCTGTTCCATAACATGCGCCAGAGGACTCCTCTGCCTCAGCTCATCTTAACTGTCACACCCTCAGCTGTGGCTCTTTCTTCATTGTCACACACAAGTTTGTGTGAGGAATAGCTGGGTACCTTTGAGGATGTCATATGATTTGTGTTGGTTAGGAAGGAAATGTAAAATTAGATATGTTTTAGGTTTTTGGTGATCACAGAGAATTTGATTTTTGACTCAAAGGTACTACCTGAAAAGAAAAATGTATTCACTTGGTTCTGCTTATGATGTAAGTTTGGAAGAAAACCTTCCTTAGATTAGTAGTTTTGGAAGAAAGTTCAACCTCTACTGCTCCTCTTCATTTTGCTTTACATTTTGGACAATATTGTCCTTAACAACAAAATAATATTTTGGACTAAATTGCTAATACTATTGAGCACAGACTAGCTTTCCAATGATTTTTCTTCAGTATCCACACTTTAGGCTGGGGATTTAGCTCAGTGGTTTTGCTGCATGCCTTTCAAGTGCAAGGTTCCGAGTTCAATCCCCGGTACCGAAAAAACAAACAAACAAACAACACTTTAATTATCTCACCAGCAAGAGAGACATAATCATTCCCTGTGACAGATGTTTTCTGTGGGGCACAGAGAGATTCCATAATTTTTCCAGCATCTCTCAGCAAATCTGGCACAGCTAAGACTTAAAACTGTCTACATCAAGGCCACCTAGTTTTCTGGATGCTTTTTAGATTGATTACCTCAGGAAGTTCTACCTGGTTTTATGGTCCTTCATTAAGTTGCATTATAGGAGCATATTTCTTAGGAAAAAGCAATTTACTCAGGAATAATATGAAATAGTGTGTGGAATTTTTAAGTTACCTTCTGGGTTAAGAGAAGTAACTCATTTAGATTACTACATAGGAAAATAAAAATACACACTTAGTGTTAAAGTGCATTAATTCATGCAATTCATGGGCTTCGGTGGTTGATTTCAGGTATTAGCACTTTAATGTAGCTTGGTCACTAGAGGAATCAATTTAAAGGGCATATGATCTTTTAATTACTGCGTTCAATTTTATTACTTATTTATTACTTTATAGGTTAAATACCTATTATTTTATTGCTTAAAAGCCTAATGTCTAGGCAGCATACAATATCTCTGTGCACTCTTGTTGAATGAAGAGATATCTGGAGGGGAGGAGGATAGAATGTTCGCCAGTCCATATTCTCCCCACCTTGAGGGTCCCTTTGACCATTTTTTTTTCTTCTGACATTTTTCTTTCCATCTCCCTAGGGATCCCAGTGGTATAAACCCTAGAGAGATATAAATTCAGTCCGTTGCTGATGTATCCTGTCTCACTATGTTCCTTCTTTCCCTGGCTCAAACTTCCTTTAGTTCTAATTCTGTAGCTCAAAGGAAAAGGAAAAGATTTGCTATAATCTCTATTTTGCAATCATTTTAGATATAATTTCTTTTTTTGTCTAGCTTCTTTCTTGTCTATCTCGTCACCTCTTTCATAGCTATCTCATTAGTCTTTTGCTCCAAGGAGGAAAGCTGTTACGGGGAAGTTACACTCCCTGTCTTTGTGATTCCAAAGAATGACATTTCCGTCATCGCACACCCATACCCACACACTCCCCCTACAAGAGGTGCCACATGCATGCACATGCCTACAATACAGGCGCACTCCATACACTTCCTCACGTTGCGTATGCATACTGCACACACCCCACACACGTGTACATACCACACACGCACTACAAAGACATATCTCGCGTACCATATTTATCACACATATGCACACACTTACGCACATGGCGGGTGTCCTCTGCCTCTGCCTCCCTGATCCTGAGGACAACGCTGCAGATCTCTGCTATCTCCATGGAGAAGAAAACCCAATGTTCCCCGATTTTGTCTCAAATCCTGTGTGTGTAACATGCTGCCAAGAATATTGACAAACATCATTCTAAGCCTCTTACAGGAAGTGTTAATGAGCTGTAGGACCAATTAACATCACCGACATGTAATTGCTCAGCGACATGAGAGAACTTTTGATGTTGGGGAGCATGTGGATCTCACCGCTCGGTGTGTTGCATGCAGAAATGAAAATAATTTCTCTGCTCTTCTTAAACCTTGCTCCCTTGCAATATCAGAAGGAACAACAGGATTTACAAGGGTGCTGATGTGCTGTTTTGATAAAGTAAACCCAACCCTTGGGGCTTCTCCGTGCACTTCACTTATTACTGAGAATTAATTTCCTGGGAGAACCCATCTTATTAACTGATTTTTCTGAGTTGGCTTGTCACTGGCTTTAGTGTGTTCAGATTGACCTGAGACTCCATGTCCACACCTATAAGGGAGCCTCTTCCTTGTGGGCAGCTGCAGGCCGATGACCATCAGGGATCCATAGCACATGCAGAGCAGTCAAGAACAGGGCTCCCTCCCCCTGGAAATGCCTCTGAAGGTGGGAGGCTCAGGTTAGGCCAGAGCAGAAGAAAGTTAAAACAATTCAAAAGAAGAAATCTTTCTCTTGATGCCCCCCCATCTGGTTTATAGAAATGTATAAAGGTAAAGGACTACACAACACCTTCCAGGAACAGCAAGCTCTGACAATGAGAATTGGTAGGGAGAATTGGTGGTAGAAACAAAACCCCAAGCCTGACTGGCTCATGTTGGAGATATTTTAACAGGCACCAGTCTTGGTTAAACTGCTCAATGTCATCTCATGTGTGTCTGTCACTCTCAGAGCTGTATCCTTTGCCCTGACAAAGGAGGCTGAGTGAAGACCTGTGCAAATCTCACAAAGTGGCCCAGGTGAGAGATTTTACACTTCTGAAGGGGTCACAAGAAAAATAAGATGACACTGAAGTCCCCTCTCCTCTTTTGATTGTGTTTGAATTGTACAGGTTCTTCCCCTGTTCCTGAGGAGGACCTAATATCCTCTAGCTTTCTGACATTTGAATTCTTTCCACCAAAACCTATGTTTTTTTTTCCTTTCAAACATTCACTCTTTTTTCAAACCATCCTTATACTCTTTGGTAATGGAAAGTTCAAAAGATAGGATGGACTTTCTCTCAGGATGTGTGGTAACTTATTTGTGTTCTCCAGATTTCTACTTCTTAAACCAGACTTCTCTTCTGACTGGTAATGGAGCTCAGGATGGCCCAAATGAAGCTGATGAAATCTGCCTCCTAGCCTTGCTAGCCCCACTTTGTCCTCTGTGTTATATTTTCATCACAGAATTGCCATTCTTCTAGTCCCTCAAACCAGAAGGCTGCGAGTTAACAGCTCTCTGCCCTCTTCCTTGGCTTCCTCTTCAATCTCCCTTCTCCCAACCCCTAAGCTCCTCTCCACCCCATCGTGACTACTCCCATCTGCCTCTTCTTCCCCTGGTCACTGTAGTCCATACAGCACCGGGCACCCTGCCTTATACGCTCCTCAGAGTGTCTTCCATTGTTCTAGAAGCACTTGGCCTGAGCTTCTGGTTCTGCTGAAAGGACTCAGTTTCACGGATCTCTCAGTGCCACACCAAGAGGTGCTCCACACTGATCTGTCCCTCCATGATACCTGAATTCTTTCCTCAAGCACCCAGGACACAGGACATGTGTGTCCAGTTGAAGCGCTGGAGAGGTCAGTGAGGATGCGATTATAATATGTACCCAAGAAAACAATTATGCAGAAACAAGACTGTAATTGCTTAGGGCTTCTAATAGGAGAGTGTGGTCATATAATTCATGTTGGAAAAAAAATAAATCCTTATTCAGCTGTCATGCACTAATAAGGAAAAGCAAAAGAAAGGAAAAGGAAAATAGAATTCCAGCAATGGATCGGATGGTTTACGCTGCAACTTTTGGCAGCCCAGTATAACCAGCAAAGTGCTTGCAGTAAAGCCAGAAGTTCCCCAACGCATCAGAACCACCACCAGGGGTGAGAGGAAGAATAGTGCTCAGGCTTTTGCCTTCTACCTAATTCAGAGAGAAAGTTTACTTTCATCTGGCTTGTAGATTTAAACTCCAGTCGAGTTCATTTGACAAAAAGAAAGCATTTTTCTAAAATTTAAAAACCGACAGCCTACAGGATAAAGGATAAATTTTTTATCATGGCTTCTGAGACCATTTTCGACTACCATGTTCACCCTAGAGCATTTCACAGGAGAAATGAGGCCTCCTTCCCATCCTAATCGGGAGCTTAAAGCGAGGCCCAAGGCAAGTGCTACTCAATCTCACCAAACCACCAACTGTGCTGGCTTCGTGCACTCAGCCTGCACTGTACTGAAATCATTTCATGAGCTGTTT